CAGAAGGGGAATAGCTGGGTCGAATGGGACCTCTAGTCCCAGATTGTTGAGGAATCTCCACACGGATTTCTACAGTGGTTTCACCAGTCTACCCTCCCACCAGCAGTGGAGTAGGGTTTCTTTTTCCCTGCAGCCCCGCCAGCATTTGTTATTGGTTGACTTCTTGATGGTAGCCATTCTTTCTGGGGTGAGACGGAATCTCAGTGTTGTTTTAACTTGCATTTCTCAAATGACCAATGATGGTGAACATTTTTTCATTTGCCATTTCTATTTCTTCATCTGAGAAATGTGTATTCATCTCAGAGGCCCATTTTTTGATTGGGTCTTTGAATTTTGGGGGACTGATTTTTAAAAATTCTTCATATGTTCTAGATAGAAGTCCTTTGTCTGAGGGGCAGTTGGCTAACATTTTTTCCCAATTCATGGGTTTTCTTTTTATTTTGTTGGTGATTTCTTTTGATGTGCAAAATCTTTTCAGTAAGATGATATCCTAGTTGTTGATTCTTTGAAGAAGTTTCCATGCAGTTTGGTTTTTGTTCGTGAACTCTCTGCCTACCCTTATGTCTTCAAGATTTGTACCTACTTTCTCTTCAAGTAGATTCAGTGTTTCTGTTTTAATATTTAGATTTTTGTTCCATTTTGACTTTAGTTTAGTGCATGGTGAGAGATGGGTCTAGTTTCAATCTGTGGCATCTGGCAAACCAGTTTTTCCAGCACCATTTATTAAAGAGGCTATCTTTCTTCCAGTGAACTTGTTTGGCCCCTTTGTCAAAGATAATGTGGTGGAGTATGTTTGTGGTTGTGTCTGCATAGATTTATTTGTTGTTTCTTTGTGTATTGTTTTCACAATAATTGAATCTACTCAGATTAGTCCTGCCTTATTTTCATTTCAAATTGCATGTCCAAGTTGATTTTTTCTTAAATTATGGTGATAAACATTTATGAAAAGAATACAAAAGGTAGAATCAAGAACTTTGAAACTGGAATTATAGACTGTATCAAAGTATGTCTGCGCTGCTCTAAAAAGCTGTCTTTTCACTTAAGTATGTGATTTCTTTTTACCCGTGCCGTATTATCACCTGGTGCTATTGAGAATTCTCAGTGAAGGGAGAGGTAAGCCTGAGTTTTATGGTTACCGTTACGTGAAAAGAAGTTAGATGACTGGTTCTGCTTGCACTGCTTATTAAGGACAGCTAGGTTTGTCCATTTGAAGAGACAGCCGTTGGTCTACAGGTAAGTACTGGTATGCTCCGGCGTGGCAGACCTGCGCCACAGGTACTGCAGTCAGCAGTTTGTTATCCCAGGAAGGTGACTGCATCTTGGAGCAGTTTCTTCTTGAGAATTCTGATTGAATTCACAGGGTTTTTGTTTTGTTCTGTTTTGTTTTTTAACTACAGATAGTTGCCTGCTTGGATATTCTTAAACATAAGGGCGAGACTGTCAGGGCTCTTCTTGTCTGTCCTCTTCTTGGAGGTGGCGTCTTGCTGTGTTGCCCAGCTGTGTCCGCGTCCTCGTTCATGGCCGTGTGGCTCAGGCTCCCCGGTGTCTGAGGCTGCAGACATGTGCCGTGGCCCAGCTTCGCAGTAGCTCTTCTTTCATCATTTGCGCATTCTTTTGATCCCGTGCCTCCAGTGGCTTGAAGCAAGATGAGAAGCATCCTCTGCTTTCAGATGCGTAAATATTTACTTACGGTTTGCACGCATACACTGCAGAGCTACAGTGTTACGTGCAGTAGAACTTAGTGGTTAAGAAAGTGCAGCTCATGTGAGGGTTGAACTTCTGCTTCCGTCAGCGTGAAGTGAAACAAACCACTAAAGGGAAAAGTCATCGCACTCTGCTGGCGGGGGCCGTGAGGCCAGCCTGGACTATAGTAAGACCCTGACTCAAAACAAGCTTAACTCTCATGCTTCAGTTTCTGCTTTTCTTGTTTCTTTCTTTCTTTTTCTTTTTTTTTTTTTGACACAGGGTATATTGTGCAGTTCAGGCTGGCCTTGAGCTCCTTCTGTAGCTCAGACCAGCCTGAAACTCACAGCCATCCTTCTGCCTCAGCCTCCTGAGTGCTGGGGTTACCGGGATGCACACCACACACGCCTGGTTTCCCCATTTTTCAGATGGGGTGATAATTTTATATATCTGACTGAATTATTGAGTTACATGAATTAGTGCATTTGCTTAGACATGATTAAGTGCTGCATAAATCTTATTCATTACTAGTATATTAAAAATAGAAATTAAAGAATGAGATTTAAATGTATATAAATCAAACTTACAAACTTTTTCTTTTTCATCTCACTGGATGATCCTAATCTCCACCTACTTTGATGACCATTGATCTAGGTAGGGAGACTTGTGTTAGTAACTTTTTACTTTAAACTTCAACATATCATATTTGAAATAGTTTTTATATGAAAAGAATATCTTGTTCCCTCAGTTTTTAATTAGAGTTGCCCTTTCTGACTTCTGGAGCGTTATTTATACATTTCATTTTTTTCATTTTGATATTGGGCGGTGACCCCCAAGACCTTCACACTAAGCTACATTCTCAGTCTTTTTATTATTTTTTTAATTTGAGACAGGGTCTCACTAAGTCACTACATTGTCCAGTCTGGATTCAAACTTGGTATCCTCCTGCCTCAGCCTCCTAGAGTGCTGGGATTACAGGCGTGTGTCACCGTACTTTTCCATAGATTTTTTTTTTTAGTAGCTGTTTCCATCATTATAGTAAACATACCTTTCAGTGTGGGTGAAGTGAATGAACGTGTTACCCTTTCGCGTGGAATACAAGTAGTGTACCTCCCTACCAACAGTCCCGTGCCTTCCCCTCCCTTACGTTTTGATGTTTCAGGTGTCGTACACTTGAGAAGTGTCATCAGACAGTGCTGTAATTTTGTACTACCAGCCATTAACCTTATTCACAACATTGGATGGAGAAGTGTAGCTCGCTGCATTTATTTAGTAGTCACCATTTCTGCCCTCTCCCCTCGCGCCTGGTGTTCTGAGTTCTGTATCTTTTCCCGAATGATAGGACATTCTTTAGCCTTCATTTTAATGAGGTCTTTGTCAAAGAAGTCTCTTTTTCTGGGAGCGGCTTTCTTTCACCCTCCTTTGTGAATGATATCTTCTCTAAATATAGAACTCTATGTGTATTTCACTTCCTTACACACTTCAGAAATGTTTCTGTTTCCTTAAAGCCTCCATGTTTCTGATGAATGTTTGTAGTAAATTGAAGTTACTGTTTGCCTGCATATAATGCGTCATTTTCTTTGACCGCTGTCCAGATTTCTTCGTTTTCTTTAGTTTTGAAGTTTGACACTGACGTGTCCGGACCTGCGTTTCCTTGACCTGGTGCTTTTTTGCGTCAGTGAGCTTCGGGAGTCTAGAACGTGGTGTCTTCCGCCAGCACTTGAACGTGTCCAGTTGTCACTCACTTTTTTGCCTCGCACGACCCTCTCCCTTTACTTTCAGTGTCTCAGAACGGAAAGAGCGCTCCGCCTTGCTGCTGATGTTGCATCCTGGCTCTCTTACGACTAGTATTTACATGAAGTGCCCGTCTGTCTTTACTTTTCAGTCAGATTTCTTTTAGGTATTCTGTAGGTGAGTAATGTTTTTACCCATTCCGATGCTTTTAGACTATTTTAAATTAAATGTATATAATGATGAGGTCTTTCACCTTGCTATTCATTTTCTATGTGTTCTGTATCTTCCTTGTCTTCCTTTCCTGCTTTTTCCTGCCTTCTTATTAATTATGCATTATATTTTGTTTCC